ACACAGCTTGGTGTCATCGGCAAACTTGCTGATGGCGCACTCAATCCCACTGTCCATGTCAGCGACAAAGATGTTGATCAAGCCTGGTCCCACCACCGATCCCTGAGGGACACCACTAGTTACTGGTCTCCAGCTGGACATTGAACCATTGACCACAACTCTTTGTGTGTGGCCATCCAACCAGTTCTCTATCCACCAAGTGGTCCATCTATAAAACTGGTGTCTCTCCAATTTAGAGACAAGGATGTCATGTGTCGAAAATTTGAATAATTTGATAATTTGAATAGGTTGTGAAAGCAAGGAATGACTCAACAAATGTATGAACCTTATTTAGTTCCATACGCATTAATGTACATAAACAGCACTTCCTTCTCTGTTACATGCTGACATCCTATAAATTATTTTCAGCTAATCTGAAGTCAATTATTTGTGACTACTGAAAATCAGAAGATCAGAGCATGAAATCTGAGCTTGATTTTTCACTTGAAAACAAACGTACAGGATGGGTTTATGAAAGGCCATTAAAAAAGTGATATAAACAATGTGACTTGATATTTGGACAATTCTACCACCCAGGCACTTGTTCTCTCCTCCCCAGCAGAGTAGGGGAAAGACTCAGAAAGATAAATGTGCAAAAATTCATGGGTGTGGATAAAGAGAGTTTAATAGCTTTTTCAAGTGGGGGTGATGGATGAGGCCTGAGGGTGTGGGGGGCAGCAACGGAGGGAGGAGGGACAAGAAAAAAAAATAATGCACCAATTGCTCACCTCCAACGAACTGATGCTCAGCTTGTTCCAGAGCAAGGGCAGCCCCTGCCAAGCTCCAGTTTTATTGCTGAGCATGACATCATATGGTATGGAATATCCCTCTGCTCAGCTGGGGTCAGCTTTCCTGGCTATGTCCCCCCCAACTTCTCATGCACCTTCAGCCTACTTGGCAGGACAGTCTGAGGAGCAGAAAAGGCCTTGATGCTCTGTACGCACTGCTCAGCCATAGCTAAAATACCCCATGTTACCAATACTGTTCTAGTCACAAATCCAAAACATAGTTCCATAGAGCTGGCAAACTTGACATATGAGGAAAGATGGAAGGACCTAGGTCTTTTCTCCCTGAAGAAAAGAGCATTCTGTTACTTAAAGGATGACTACAAATAGGATGAGGACTCTATCTTCACAAGGAGCCACATGAAGAAGACAAGGGGCAACCGGTAAGAGTTGCGCAAGGAGAGGTTTCATCTGGACACAAGAACAATTATTCATTGAAATGACATCCCCAGTGAAGTGGTAGAGTCCCCCTTGCAGAAGGTTTTCAAGATGTGATTATATGGGGTGCTAGATAATCTTATCTAGGCCCCATTTTCCATAGAATGTTAGACCAGATGATCTTTCAAGGTTCCTTCCAACCTGTGTTATTCTATGATTGATTCTATACCAGCTACTATGAGGAAAATTAACTCAGTTCCAGCAAAAACCAGTACATACAGAATGACTGTGAACAAATTCTTATCTTTTAATTCTACAAGACCATTAAAAAATAATCATGAGGCAAGTAATTAGCAATTTTTGAGTTTTGATAGTAAGATAGTTATGTAGTCTAGAGAGCAGCAGAAGAGTGACAGCAGGAACTATCTAAGTACTAAATTACCTAGGCTACCTAGGCTTCTTGCATAGCAAAATGAAGACACGCTCTTGCAAAAAATGATTCACGGTACTGCAGTAAGCCCTGCCTTAAAGTGTTCCTGATAAAATCTCTCTCTTAAAACAGCTGGACAGCTGAGGGCATCTTGAGTATTAAAAGCTGAATGTTGTAAATACCCTACAGTGCTACATTGCACTTATTAAAAACTTATGAAATTAAATTTTTATATTTCTAAAACTGACAGAGCTAGCTGTTGTTAAATAACAGTGAATTCCCTTTGTAAGGTTTCTGTAAGTGCAGCCATAGACAAGGACCTACCTCTAAGCTGTTAAAATTTGAAGCTAGGAAAAAAACCCGATTCATTCAAAAGTGAAGTTCAATGCAAATACAAGGAAATCTGATCATCAGTTTCTTCACGATGTTTCAGACAAGATTATTGTGGTGGAAAAGAACTGCATTTCACTTACATTGTTTTTTTCCTGGGTGACATAAGTGTTACCAACATCAGAGTCACATTCAATGGCTAACAGGGAAAACCTCGCAGCAGTTTGCAGACTAAACAAAAAAAACAGTTGTTCTGTTATCAGAGTTTTCCTGATGCCATCGCATCATTTTGGTGTCCTTCATGGGAATTCAATGCCCAGTGCACAGCCCTTATAAACCTGTTCCCTACATGAGGTTTTACTGATTCCCTGATAGGAAATGTGAGGAGTCACTAGATTACTCATGCTACAGGCTCTGATATAAATCAGGCAGAAGCACTGAAAAGAAATCTTATCGCTTTAACAGATTTGTAAACACCTCCAGTTTCAGGAGAATTTTCTGTAAGCTGAAGTATAAGCATGGAAGCCACAGTATCTGGTTCCTGTCTTGGTAATAAATTTATTTTCTTCTTTTTGGTAAGTGATGTAAATTCAGGCCATATGAATGGACCTCAGCTAGAAAGATGTAAGCTATTACTTACTATTCACCTCACAAAAGCTTTCTAAGATGCAACAGATTTATATTTGCAAAGCTATTTGAAAACTTCACATGGGAAATACAGCCTTCATATTGTATGTGTTGTAGCACATAGATATATTAAGATAGTCTGACAAACTGTTATGTTTTATATATCTTTATTAATTGGTGCTTCAATTAATTATTGCTTCATCACTGCAAGAGAAAATGAATATGCATGCTAAAAGGAAAAACATAACTAATGCATGTTCATTAAGTCTAATAAATCTCCCTGTATGAAAAGCACACTGAAGAGTACCACAGCGAAAACTTTTGTGCCTGAAATCACTTATTTATGGGACTCCATATTGCACCCTGCAAAGGCATCTCTAAAGTGTCTCAAGCTCCTAAGGCTAAACAGTAGTACTAAGAAAGACCTTTAATATATTTATGTACATAACCCAGTGCACACATCCCAACCCATGAATATTCTGTGGCATAGGTAAAGCTCTTCCTTCTGCCTTCACCCATCACACTGGTGGTGTATCTCAAGAGCTCCATTTTGAAAAGAACCAATTTTCTACCCCCTCAAAGAGATTTTTAATTGGTAGCCTTGAGGACTCAGCACTGGACGTGCCACCGAGGAGCCTGTGTGAGCCTGAGGGTTGGAGCATCGCATGCCAGGTGGCTCACTGCAGCACGCTAGGCTGCCTGCCGCTGGTCAGTCATGGTGCTCAGTGAAAGACTGGACATTTACCCTCCAGTCCAGCCCCTGGGGGCCTGCTCAGGGTGTTTGAGTGTGGGGCTGCAGATGTCCTTCCAGTGCTAACAGGAGGAAGGGGAAAGCAGGAACTGACCTGTGCAGAAGCACTGTGCAGGTGACTGGGGCACTTGCCTCCTTACCACTAGCATAATTAATGCATTAACTGCATTGCTAGGAAGGCTGTGTGCACCGAGGAAGGCAACAAAACAATGTGCTATTCTAAAATACACAATATATCATAAAATCAGGCCACAGCCTCTCATGTGAAATTTTTGGCTCAGTGATGCACACATGCCCAGCATTATCTTATTTTCTTTCAGAACAGTTAAAAGCTAATAAATACATTACATATAACGTCAGCCAGCTTCTAGCATGTCTGCTGTTAGCTGTCATGAATTCTTGGCTTGCTGTTGAGAAGATCTGTGAGTTTGAGGCTGTGGGTGCAAAGAAGCGTGGTGTTGAGCTATTCCTTATAGTCAGTTAATTATTAATCATGCTAGAGAGATCTGGTGCTGCAGTGACCTGGCTGCTTCCCTATTCAGAGATTCTCAGTCATTTCATGGTGATGTTTAATGTCCCAGAAACTGGGGCAAGAGGGGAAGATGTTTCCTCTATTTTCTGAAAATATCAACTGAGTAATTATCAGATATGAAAATCCTAATTAATATATCAAAGTCAGTTTTTTAAGTTCTTCACTTTATCTCTTCCTGTGCTTCAGCAGCCATTCAACTCCAAATGCTGCTCAGCATTTGGCTTTCAGAATCAGAAATTTAACCATGAAGATAAACCCAGACTCTCTCTGTGTAACCAGACACAAAAATTACAGAATCAGGACACCACGCTAGAAATCTCATATGAGCCTCTGTTTTCCACATTACTGGATGAAAGAGTCTTTTCCTCGTTTCCCCCTAACGTTGGTTTCTTGCTTTTGTACAGAAGTAAGTGGATGTTAAGTGTCCTTCTCTCATGAAACACCTTCCACTTTGGAATGAAAGTCACCTTCATGAGCAATGAAGCTCACCTGAGAAATCTCAGATCTCTCTCAGCAATTTGATCCCTGCAGTGTCTGAAAAATCAGATTATGATAAATGATGGCAAGTATTAAGTCAGATTATACCAACAGACATGAAGAGACAAAAAGGCTTTTAAAAGATCTAGCAAGCATTTAGGACCTTAGCTGGGAGACAGCATAAAAAGCATTAACGCATTCTGCTACACTAAAAACCCAGAAGGTTCTGAGAAACCAGCTCACGGAAGTTGCAACATTATGTTTTTTGAACAATATATTCACCTTTAAAGAAATTTTCCCTGAAGGAGCAACTGAGATGGATGCCTGTGTTCCTGACCCACAAGGCGTAAGGGATGGCATAGTTGCAACAATACAAAGAAAAGGAGGCCCTTACATGTTGATCTGTCCAATACCTTCTCCAAAATCATTGTGCTCATTAGATGATGCATGCAAACAATAAACCTTCTGTCATTTGCGTTCTAAATAGGAAGACACTCATGCTTTGCTCCACCTGGGGGACAGATGCAATGCAGCCTTTCTGTCATTATGATATTGATATTCATAAGCAGCTGATTCCAATTACTGGTTTTAGATAAACAGAATAATGGATATGAGTACAAGTGTCACTCTTCCTTTTGTCTGTTTACACAGAAAGCCAGACTTGCTCGAATTCGTGCTGCAAAGAGTGGGAGTGCTAATGCCTACATGCAGAGCAAACGAAATGGCTTACTGAGTAACCAGCTGCAGCAGGTAATGTTCCCATATCCTCCAGCTTCAGAGTAACAGCTTAATGACAGCCCAGCAGTGGCTTATTCTATTTATCACCAGGGCAAGTCAGCTTGGGTCTTTTAGGAAATGTTCTATTTGGGGGTAGATTAAAGAAGGATAAATTGGACAATTACTATTGTTAAAGGAAGCTTATGAGATGGCGGGGTATTAAAAGATGAGGGAAATGGCCACATAGACATGCTGGATTCAAATGTAACCCACACTTTTAGTTAGGAGACCTCATTAAGAAAGTAAAGAGCATTTGCCTCTTAGGAATTAGGTTAGATTTATTTCATTTGACTTTAGACAGGTAGACCCTGGGCCACAAAACCAAGCTTCATTGTTAGTGAGGAAAAGAGGTAGCTCCGGGCTGTTTTTTGCACAGAGAGATGCTTCAGATTGAAAACATTCCCTGGAAGTGCCTATTTTGCTCTAAGGACAATCTTGGTGATTATACCAAATGCATTGAAATACAGTCTTATCTGAAGAAATTCCACCCCCTGCTTACACCTGCTGAGTAAGCCAGGACTGAACACAAGGCAGTGGCTGGGACTGGAAACCACAGCAACCCATGCTGCTGGAGACAATCCCTCTGCTGCCTGGAGCTGTACCCAGCTGAGAAAGACTGAAGACACAGAGCTTCTTAATCCCTGACATTTTCTGGTATTCAGGCAATTCCCTGGGGCATACAGGAAGGCTTTCATTCCTCTATGCCCTTTCTGTTCGATATGTGTTAAAATGCCAAGGGTTTTAACCTATAGCCAGAAGAGGAGGAAGTGGCTGTCCATCCGTCCGGTCTAGCATTAAAGATGAGCAGTCATAGCCCTTATTTCCTTTTCTGCTTGAAAGAACTCAAATCTTTGAACTAAAAAGACACCAAATAGTTCAATTGCCATGCACATTTCAAATATCCCAAAGTCGAACTGTAATCTTCCCTATTATCCCACTTCATTCCCTATTTATTTTTTTTGCTTTCTAGTGAATAATTATGAAAGCAGTTAATAAACAGTGAATGCTTTCTACTTAATTCTTTATTCTCTGTCAGTAACATCTGCTATACGTTTTCCAGACTCAGCAAATTGGGATCAGTGACATGAATTTTTGTGTAAGCAGCAATACCACAAATTCTTTAGTGCTATGAAATGATCCCAGGAGGACAACTCTGTTTAATTTCCTTCAAATGAGGCACATTCCCGGGGAAAAAAAAAAAAAACGTCTACTGTCATTTAAATTTATGATAATTTTAAGCATGCGTTGATCCAATATTCAAAGCTTACATGTTGATTGCATTTGTAAATTGTGTTATTCCATCTATGCATAAAAGACCTAAGTTGGAAACATTTAAAAGGAAATGCAATGGCAGGAAAGAAAATATTTTGATTAAAAAAAAAATAAGCAAAATTTTGGTTATGCAGTGTAGCTGCAGTTATATTACTGTGTACAATCCAGATTAGTTCTGATCAAATATTTGGATAACAGCCCACTTGTTCACAAATGAGAATAATATGGAGTTCTATGTGTCAACAGTCCTCCAATGAAGAAGAACAGGCCTTTGTTAGCAAATCTGGCTCGTCCTTTGAAACACAGCACCACCACCTGCTTCACTGCCTGGAAAAAACTACGGTAAGAAAAGAGATCTGTGTTTTCCTGTGAATTCCAACACCAGCCTAGTTTTGAATGTTTTCAGTTATTTCTTCTAATTAATAAGCCTTTATATGAGAGTAGTTAGCTAGGAAGAAAAGCCATTTTATCTTAAGGTGTTATGCACACTGCATATAAATAACAGAGAGATCCTGTATGAGCACCTCATCTAGTGTGAAAGATACTGCCATCAGTACATCATGAGATGACATTAGTTTGACCAAGCTGTATGTGTGACCTTCAGGATGTTTTTCATTCATTCCATAATGTTATCATTCTCACTTTTCTGCAGCAGAGTTCATAAAACACAATTTGTAGTCCTTATACATTCAATACTCAGTACAGACAAAACCAAATTTTCACCTGAGCCAGTGCTGGACTCAGGGAGAGCTGCTGGGTGTTTCCTCTGATGTCAGTGTGATTCCTGACAAAGTTACTGTAAAAGAGGATCCCCCAGCAAGTTGTTTCGAAACTCTAAGTGCTTAATCCAGGTGCAGGTGCAAAGCTTCAAAGCCTTTTGGCTTTGGTTTAGACACTGGTTTAGACACTGAGATCCCAGTAGAAATCACTGATGTAATTCATAATAGCCCAAATATGCTCATCTGGATTTGAAACTCCCTATAAATCAAAAGGACTACTTATTATGTGATCTTTATATATTTCCCTGCTCAATAGCTGGATAATTAGACAGCCATTAAGGATAGTAAACTACAGCCGAGTTATGATTCAGTAATAGGGGCCATGTTTACTAAGAGTGTATTTCTGGGTAGATAATGTCACAGCAATAACTCTGATCATGCTGAATTTTATATTGTTTCCTCTTTATAATTTCCTAGGGAACTGAGAACATAAATACTGTATTGAATTTAATCTTTGTAGATTTGGGAATTTCACATAGAGCATGCTGAAATTGTCTCCCTGTATTTTTATGTTTGTGCGGGGGTTATATTGCCGTGTAGAATTTACCTTGTACTGTAGGTAAGTTGGTCAACACCCATTAAGCTACCATTTACAAATTTACACCTAGTTTTATAAGTTTTAGTTGCATGTAAAAATTACATGATTTCTCTTGAAGTTTTCTATATATAGTGGAACTTTATGCTATTTCGTCTTATCTATGTAGTCTAATTTTTAGATTTTCATTAAAACAGCTGGTAATGCCTCTGCTATTAGGTAGAGATCACTGAAAGTCTTTCCACTCTTTCTCAAGAAGAAAAAAAGAATAAATATGTTTTCTCACAACAGATATTGCTAAATTAAAATATGATGTATATATAACTTAATATTCTCCTTTCAATAGCATTTCTTTATAAATAAAATGGCCCAGTTTTTACATCACTTAATAGTAATATGTCATCTGACAGGTGCTTATGCCTCCTTCATTCTTCCTTTTGGAGTATTGATTTTTACATAATGTGCTGTAGGACAAAACATCTTGCTTCCTATTCAGAGCACAATGTGGTTCCTTTGCCGAGATTCAGACTGGGTCCTTCTGGAATATTTTTGAGACATTTTGTACTAGACCCTGAAATTAGCAATCCATCTTAAAAATTATTCCACAGTTGAACATTACAAACGTAGCAGCCACATGTCTTGTCAAATGCTCACAGAAATCATGGGGAAAAAATTGTATTCATTTGGTGGGAACTGAATTCAGCTGCCAATACATTTCCTCTAATCACAATGGTGGACTGTGCGTAAGCCTTTTCTTTCTCTTCTTTATTTTTTAAACAAAGCTTGGTTTGTTTTCTTTGTTTTATTTTGTTTGGTTGGTTTGGGTTTTTTTTGTGGTTTTGGTTTTTAATAAGTCTATAAAACAAGTATTATCTTATTTCCTAAATTTTCATAGAGCCTAGTTTCTTTTTTCCTTGTTTGTTGGATCCTGCTACTAGCAGTGAGTTAATATGGCACTTGGAGGGGTTCCAAGTTGTATTCTGCATATCATGCATTCTTAAGATTTAAGTGGGAAGTTGAGATTTTGGCCTCTCAACTTGTGGAATCTGGCAAGTTGCTAGTTCATGGTATAACAGCAAGGGTGAGATGCATTCTTCACCTCTCATCAGCCTTTGAAATATCACATGACTTAAGCATCACTGCATATGACACTAAGCAAAGGCATATTTTCTCTTTCCCCTCACTTTAAAGTCAATAGAATAAGATCTCTTCCACTTCAGAAAGGCAGAGTGAGTAATGTTATCGGATTCTGTGAAGATTACATTAATAATGAAAATACTTGCACTGGAGGTTATATTTTGCAGGATACTTTTAGCTAATTAAAGAACAGTTAATTAATAAGTAGAACCAAATCTATTAACTTGAGCCATTATATCGTTTCAAAAAGTTTCCAATCTCTATTAAAAGTTCACTCAATAAACCTCTTTAATGGACCCTACAAATTGAATTCTTGTTGGTTGTTCCATAAAAGTTTTAGGAAGCACGAAATTACTTTTAATCAGAAAACTAACAGAGTTCTTGGCAAACATACTGGAAGCCACTGAACGTAATCTAAAGCAAGTGATTAGGTAATTTTTCTCTCTGAATTTTATGTCCACTGTGCAATCACATTCAAAAACTTGATTGTGACTGGCATATACCTTACAGAAATCAATATTCAAGCAAGTTCTTTCTTTCCATGTCACTTGAAACTGGCATTCTTCAACACCACTCACTTCCACACAAACTGAGTGAAGAACAGAACTGGAAATAACAATAATATGCCTATAAAGGTATTTCCATTTCTTGCAAACACTTGGCCACAGTTGTTACTCGATTTATTTTGTTCACATATTTTACATCAGCACTGTACTGTAATTCTCCCCCAAAAACATCAGCACCTTTCCAATTAGTGCATCATCCTTCAGGGGAAAACAAAAATGCAGCAAGCTAACAAATGAGAGTGAGTGAGACTGAGTGTACAACAATCCAGACCATGCTCCCTAAATCACTCCCAATCCATTCCCAGGATATGCGGACTGATTCCAGCAGAAAATGGAAAGATTTCTGGTTTTTTTTTTAAAAGGAGTCTTTCCCACACTGCACATGAACATATCTTAACCTCTACTTAGTTTGGGCTGCTACTTTAAAATGACTGTAAAAATTCCCCCTTTCTCCCCCCACTATAAGCAGCACCACCATTTCATGCTCTTTTGCACACAAAGAAAATGTGGAAATCATGGCTGTGTGTGAAACGCTCCATAATCACTTACTGCGCCAATATAAACCAGCCCTTTGCATGAATTTGAATTCAGCTCTATGACAACCCTATAAAACAACTGTCTATGCTGAGATTAAGCAAAGATCGTATGAAGTACTTCATTTAACTAAATGTTCAGGCTTCTAAACTGCTTTCAATACATCCATCTCCTGTAATTAGGAACTTTTGGATGCTTTTAAATAACCATCTCATCTCCTTTAATCAAAACTTCTGTTTCATGAATCTTTTTCTTTTACATAGATGCATACCTCAAACCACACTTTCATATCCTGATTTTTAACATGTAATTCAAAAGGAAGCTTTATAAACTCATTTGGACAATATTTATGGATTTTATTGTATTATAGTTCAATATAATAAATCTTATTTACATCCAAATGACATTTAGAGCATGTACATGAGCACCACTTGCATTTTTATTAATAAACATAATCCTCTATTTTTTGGTATTTCATAGATTATACAGATATTTATAATGCAAGCCACATTATGATCACATTATATTTTACAAAGTAATTTGGATTAACATTTTCTTACTTAGGGCTCTGAGAGTTTTGTTCCAGCGTTTACATTTGTATTGGTATTCATCCCAGGCTAATGTGGGCTAAATACTATAATCAAGAATAAGCTGTCTAACTTCCCAATTTATTCAGTTTTGTCAATTTAAGTCTTTAAACAATCGTGATTAATATGTTCACTGTAATTATCTTCCTGTGTGTTCTTTGTCCCTTGGTTGGATTCCTCTGCGCTAGAACCATGAGTTCGTGGATGAGCAAGTCTATGAAGAGAGCTGTATGGAAGTTTCTACAGTCAACAGACCCCCAAGCCACAGCCCCTCTCTCTCATCTCAGCAAGGTGTTACCAGCACTTGCTGCTCACGAAGACATAAAAAGACTTACCACATCCCAAACACCAACATCAGTGGCAGCCGCCCAGGCAGTGTACAAGAGCTCAGCACCATCCAGATCAGATGTGTGGAGAGGACGCCTCTGTCTAACAGGTACTTCACACAGAGGGCTGAAGCCCCTTCCTTTGTGAGAGAAGGGATATAGAGGTGATGTGGCCTCCATAGTCAGGATGTGAGACTAAAGGTGAAAGTCAAATACTTATCCAAAAATGGATACCAGGACTGAAACATCCTGCACTCAGTTTGCTGCAAGGTTAGTCCAAGATAACAGAATACTGTTTCTATATCCATTTCTGCCCTCCCCACAAACTATCACATACTATTTGCAGCAAATAACAACCAGTTACCTCAAATGAAATAGAGCATCAAATATTATATGCCATAGAAAAAAATTAAAATAGAAAAATGTGTGATTCAGATATACAAGGTGAGCAAGTGGGAAGAGAAAGAAAGGTCTGTTCCTGCTATTTCTACTGCTTTGGTTCAGAAGCAAAGGACAAATGAGACTTCCTCACATTTCCACAGAGGAGAGAAATAAAACTGATTTCCAGAGTCATAATAGTCATAAAAAAGAATTTTCTAAATAAAAATTTAAAAAAAAAAAGAAAGAAGAAAAATCTATTTCCTACTTTAAGGAGTTATTACAAAAGTGAGGAAGGTGCAGGTGAAGTGTTTATAATTTACTGAATGTCTCTGTACTCTCACAAATAAAGTGTTTGGTTTTCAGATACATCCAAACACCACCTCTGAAAACACAGCAATGGTCTCGGGAGACCCAAAAGTGTTTTCTGTTGAACTCAAACAAGCTACCATTTAAAGAAGGAGAGTTTTCAGCACTAGTTACCATAGAAATTGTCTAAAGTTACATTTGATAGCTTGCTTTGTATAGTTACTAAGTTTGGCTTCACTTTCATGATCAACCCAGCAGCTTGCAGCTACTGATGTTTTTCAGCTGTTACGCAATGAGACCTCCTGGCCAGTACAAAGCTACAATCGGTTTTAGCTTTTCAGGAAATATTCTGCCTGGATCCATCCTTTCTCTGCTAGAGCACTGTCTGCACCATACTTCCGGTAACATCGTATGTAAAAACACAAAGCACCAGCTTTGTGCTAAAATACAAGCTAAAAACAAAAGCACAAAATGCCATTCTCACCTTGAACCAGTCACTTTTAAAAGGTCCTTATGATGCTGAGGTACTGCAGAAGCACCAAGAACATATTAAATCAACCTTAATTAGCACATATATCACTGTGCCTTATTATTGAGGATACAGAACATACAAAACGTTCTTAAATATGCATGGCATGGAGGAGTCTGTAGGACACTGGTCCCCCTTTTCATAGAATCATAGAATAGTTAGGGTTGAAAAGGACCTTAAGATCATCTAGTTCCAACCCCCCTCCCATGGGCAGGGACACGTCACACTAAACCATGCCACCCAAGGCTCAGTCCAACCTGGCCTTGAACACTGCCTGGGATGGAGCATTCACAACCTCCCTGGGCAACCCATTCCAGTGCCTCACCACCCTTACAATAAAGAACTTCTTCCTTATATCCAACCTAAACTTCCCCTGTTTAAGTTTTAACCTGTTACCCCTTGTCCTATCACCACAGTCCCTGAAGAAGAGTCCCTCCCCAGCATCCTTGTAAGCCCCCTTCAGATACTGGAAGGCTGCTATGAGGTCTCCATGCAGCCTTCTCTTCTCCAGGCTGAACAGCCCAAACTTTCTCAGCCTATCTTCATACGGGAGGTGCTCCAGTCCCCTGATCATCCTCATGGCCTCCTCTGGACTTGTTCCAACAGTTCCATGTCCTTTTTATGTTGAGGACACCAGAACTGCACACAATACTCCAAGTGAGGTCTCACGAGAGCAGAGTAGAGGGGCAGGATCACCTCCTTCGACCTGCTGGGCATGCTCCTTTTGATGCAGCCCAAGATACAGTTGGCTTTCTGGGCTGTGAGAGCACACTGAAGCTGGCTCATGTTCATTTTCTCATCGACCAACACCCCCAAGTCCTTCTCCTCAGGGCTGCTCTGAATCTCTTCTCTGCCCAACCTGTAGCTGTGCCTGGGATTGCTCCGACCCAGGTGGAGGACCTTGCACTTGGCATGGTTAAACTTCATGAGGTTGGCATCAGCCCACCTCACAAGTGTGTCAAGGTCCCTCTGGATGGCATTCCTTCCCTCCAGCGTATCAACTGAACCACACAGCTTGGTGTCATCGGCAAAAACTTGCTGAGGGCGCACTCAATCCCACTGTCCATGTCACTGACAAAGATGTTGATCAAGCCTGGTCCCAACACTGATCCCTGATGGATACCACTCGTTACTGGTCTCCAGCTGGACATTGAACCATTGACCAGAACTCTTTGTGTGTGGCCATCCAGCCAGTTCTTTATCCACCGAGTGGTCCATCCATCAAATTGATGTCTCTCCAATTTTCTGCATAGCTAGTCACTTGGCTATGCAAAGTTTGCTCAGATACTTCCCCTGTTCAGAAAAAACTTAGGTGATGGGCTGAGAAACTTTTAGATGTGCTGAAATGGTAAACGAAGGGAGAAAGGGGGCCTGTCCATGGACACAGCCCTGGACCAGTTGCTGCTGGGGACAGGGGGGTGCGATGGTGTCGCTTTGTACATCTGAGCTCTCTAACAGGGCAGGAAGGAGACGGACATGCTAAGGGAGTGGAATGGGCACAAGAGGTTTGCAGTAACATAGACTCTTTCTTCATGGATTTTTGTTTCTTCCTCCAGCCGTTCCAGCTTAAATGCCAAAGTGGAAGAGTGCGTTAAACTAAACTGTGAGCAGCCTTACGTCACTACAGCAATAATTAGCATCCCGACACCTCCAGTCACCACACCTGAAGGAGATGATAGGCCAGAGTCTCCTGAGTACTCGGGAGGAAACATTGTCAGAGTATCTGCTTTATAAAAGGAGTTATTTCTAAACTAGCATAAAGACCACTTGCAAGCTGAGCTCAAGCAGTGAGGAATGAGAGCTGACAAAGACAATGCCCCTTGACGTGTGCGCCAACAGCTGCAAAGCAAGAGGTGTGGGAGAAACGCAACACTCTGTGGGTTTCAGTGTCATAGCGTGTGAACCAAAAGGAGTTTCTTATCCATTGTCCGAACAAAGGCGCAGTGGAATCTCCTGTGACCATCCTGACTTACTATATGAGCACAATGAAATGCCCCCATTGATGCTTCTTCTTATAGTGAGAGCTCTTTTTAGAAAAAAAAAAAAAAGAAAAAGAAAAACCACAAAACAAAAATAGAAACAAACCTGTGTTCCTGCCGAATGCAAAACAATGAGAAACATTTTGATAAAGTGTCTTCTTTTTTTCCTGTTAATAAACCACAAACTTGATGAGGAACTATCAAAAAATGAAAGAAAAAATGCTCATATGAAATATGTTTGTACTGACTGAAAGAACTGCAACCATAATGCATGCTGAAATTATTTGGAGCTGTGATCTTCAGTTACTTTTGTTGTTTTTCAGATTAGGCATGATAAAATATTACTGTAGAAAGGGGCATTTCCGAGCACTTACAACAAGCTGATTGTTGATGTCCCATGGTAGTTGTACAAATAACTTCCCTTTGAAAAAATGCAGCATTTCTTATTCAAACACTCATTAGTGAACTAAAGGTGTTCAGTTAGTTCAATATTTATTATTGTTTTATCTTGCTTCCTAGGTACTGTTACAACCGCAATAAGTCATTGTACACCTGTTGTATCAGGAATCAGGATTCCTTTTTTTATTTAAGGTATTTTACACAACTTCAGCTACACGATAAACTTTTAATGGCAAACATTTAAATAATCTTACAGCCAAACCGTGCACCACAAACGAGCTATTCAGTCATTGTTCTTTTTGTCCACTGTCCTCTATTTCTGTAAGTTTGTCACACACTCCAATGATGCCATACTGTTTAGGATTTCAAGGCTACTGATGAATCCATACAGTCCTTTTGTCCATAGACATCTTGTCTTCTTCTGTATTTTCAGAACAAACCTCTCGTCCCAGTGTACTGTTACAGGATCAATCATATCTGGATTAAAATTACTATAAAGGTGTTTTCGGGATCAGCTAACACTTATCTCCAAACCTTCCTTGCTGACATTCTACAGCATCCAGAGCATTAGCTATGCTGGAAGACATTCAGTAAAATGACGGCTAAATTCTTTTTGTCATTATCTGTAAACTTGCATCCTAAAACTTGTTCAAGAATTTATACTGTGTGAAGATATTTAATTACCTAAGAACACTGACAGAATAATGGATTGGGCCCCAAAGCTATAAAAATATGATTTATTGCAATTGGATTTGCCTACATGGGCAGGCCTAATAGCTAATATGAAGGCTTTACTAGTTAAGGCTTTTTGGCTTCATTTTTAAAAGACATTGATGTTACCAGAAACCTTTCTGATAAAAAAGTATCATTTTTTTTTCATGAGAGTGCATTAAATGTACCACAATGCTTCCTATATTAATGACATACCATACATTATATACATCAAATATACATGGAATATGTGCATATCAATACATACATATATACATCAAAAACACTGGATCAGAAAAAAATGCATGTCTGCAAAATAAAATATGCATATAAATCAAAAATCTCAGTGCATTAGATGCCATTACAATAAATGATTACCACAGTTACTTAATAGTTTGAATAGTGTAGTGTTTGCTAGCATTTTACCAACCTGAAAATTTACATTAAGAGAAATTACGCACTAAAACCTGAAACTTGCTGATGATACACTTTTTACTGCACACAAGTACTGATCTTTCTCTTTACTTGACAGCTGAGATCGAAGAGTAGATGATGGACTATCATGCTACAGTACATACACCAAAATACAACATCCCATACTAGAATTAAATGACAGTTAAAAAAGTACAATGTCATGCATTATTCCCTGATCATTTACTTATATAGAAGCTTGGTTAATTTGCACTTAATTTCCCAATTTTTCCTCAAATCAGGATAATTTACTGTAATCTGAGCTTCTATATTTCTTTCAGACCTTAACAGTGGGCAGAAGCAGAGGCTGTCCTCTGCCTCTCTGTCCCAGAGGAGCACCTTCTGAGGAACTGCTGAAGTCGATCGATTACCTGACATTGCTCTCCTCTCTTTCAAGCTGCTGAAAAGTTGCAATATACCTGCAGAAACTGGTGGGTTACATAGTTTTAATGGGGTTTAAAGGAGAGGCAGAATGGACCCAGAGTTTTTACTTGCATCCTACTTCTACCCATGGTTACTCATACAAAAACTGTTTCATCCCCACCAGCTACTGTTACAAAAGCTGCCTTGATACTATCAATCTGCAACAACTTCTTTATGCCACATGGTATGTCTTGACTAGTTACAGCAGGTAAATAATGCAAAAAGGCAGTTACTAAATCCACTTCAGGACAAACTACATACAACCCAGGAAACCTACTGACTCCATCATCTTCTAAAACATCTTCATTCCCCTTTTCATATGGACTAAAAGGAATGCACTACAGCAATACACTTGCATAACAGTGACACCCCTGAAGCAACTTGTACTTTCATCTTTTAAATGCAGCTTAAGGAATAATTTAGTATAATTTTGCAGAATTCCAGTCCCGTCGCCTAATTCCATTTCACATGCAAAATCATTAATCAATTCTGAATTTGGGAAATACACATTCTTTTGGTGTTTTAGGTGATTTAAATGCTGTTTTAGTAATGAATGACTGTTGATGACTGTGTAAAATGCATCTGTACTGTACATGAAATGTAATTATTTCTGTGTATCATACAAAGAAACCGAGGTTGTTGTTTTGACAATTTTGTTTGACAGTCATATATCGTATTTCAGAAGGCAGCATAATACATGTTATGCTGAATAAATAGGCATTTGAGGAGTATTTAAATAAAACATCTGCATGCTTGAATGGGTCGACTCGGTTTTGCAGTAACTTATTCATGGAACCTTTTTCCTTCTCTAACAAAGGCTACAGAGCCTCCTCAAACCTGATACCAACTTCCCTTGATAAAATATTAGTGCACAGATGAGATTAGGATCCTTTTGCACCGTAAGAGCAGGCAAGACCATAGGATAGACCACTTACAAAGAGTGACTGCTAGAGCAGATAATGCTCATCTAGCAGCTGTGCATGCCATGGCACTGGCAGGCATGACAGCCACCTTTGCCAGGAGCTAACTGCACTGGGGAGGAGGGAAGGTAGAATACCTGACTGCGAAGCACCCCAGAGCATTTTTAAGGCGAATGACTGTGCTTCCACAAAACAGCCACAGGAGACAAACTGAAAATGCACACTTTACATTTTGAGGTGTGGGATATACTCGCAATGAAACACGCTGACTGCCTAGAAAAGGTTTTTGCAGAGCAGAGCACAGTGCAACCTCAGCTGCTCCAGACAGAAGGGTGGCTTTCGGAGAGGAAACTGGTCTGGAGAAGGATAAATTAGTGAAATCCAAGGATCATTAAATTTTGGGTAGAGAGGGTGCTTAGGAGGTCATATGCTCTCTTTCCTGCACATGGGGCCCAGCAAGACTTTATTTTCCCATTGACCATGGAAACATTTTAAGATTATCAGGAGCTCTGGAATAGCAATCAGCCAATGGGATACGCCAACATGAGGCTAAAAGAGCAGTCAGGGATTGACAACGTATTTTGATTGACAAAGGCAGACACACATAATCACCTGGATAGTTTAATTTAATTTGATTACCAATCAAACCAGACTAGGATAATGAGAAATAAACCCTAAATCTTAAAACACCTTCTCCCCATCCCTCCCTTCTTCCTGAGTTCAACATTACTCCCAAATTCCTCCCCTCCAGCTGCACAGGGAGACAGGGAATGGGGGTTGCGGCCAGCTCATCACACACTGACTCTGCTGCTCCTCACTCCTCAGGGGAGGACTCCTCACACTCTTCACCCTGTTTCAGCATGTGATTGCTCCCACAGGAAACAACACTCCATGGACTTCTCCAATGTGCCTCCTTCCCATGGGCTGCATTCACAAACTGCTCCAGTGTGGATCTCCATGAGGTCACAAGTCCTGCCAGGAGACTGCTCCAACATGGGCTCTTCTCTCCATGAAGCCACAGCATGGAGAGCATGGCCCATGCTATGGAGCCATGGAGCACATCCTCCCCTCCTTCACTGACCTGTCTGCAGGGATGTTCCTCTCACATATTTTCACCCATCTCTCTGGATGCAGTTGCTGTTGTGCATGCTTTTTCCCCATATCTATGTTATCCCAGAGGCACTACCACTGTCACTGATGGGCTTGGCCTTGGGCAGTGGCAGGTCAGTCTTGGAGCCAGCTGGTATTGGCTCCCTCAGACAGAGAGAAAGCTTCTACAGCTTCTTACAGAAGCCACCCCTGCAGCCCCCCTGTTACCAAATCCTTGCTACACAAACTCTATAAAATGCTTTTGCAGTAAAAACTTCAGAAACTATTTGAAAATCCCCTCCTCCATCATATTTAACTGTATAGTCACTGTGACAAACAGCCTCTCCTTTCACTATCATTTATATATTTGCTTGTATTTATGGGTTGTTTTTACAAAATTAACTGTTATAAAAATGAGAAAATGCAGTTATGTTTCCTTCAGAAAGCCTTGTCATACAAATCAGTACTTTGTCCAAAGACCAGGAATAGTGAATTTTGCCTTCTAAAAGCATCCCCATGCTCCCATGGCTGCATACTGAGCCCCATAGCTAAACACAGTCCCATGGACTCAGCATGATGCACAGGACTGAACAGAAACACTTAATGCAAGCACAGGGTGACCCCTTTTCTAACACAGTTGCTCTCCTTAAGTGACCTGTGAAAAACATTAATGAGCAGCTCCATAGCTGTCTGTGTTGCAACAAGAAAGATTTGGTTCATTACAGTTTTTGCTGCAGTGAAGAGAGAACTCCCCATTCCTTCTCCTTCAGGTACTCCTGAAAAACAGAGGAAAAAGGAAATAAAAAGATGAAGTAGTTCTTACTGCTGCAACCATCTCTACATGTTCCTCTGTCACCAAGCAGCCTCTCTCCTACATATATCCTCAAGCTCTACAGGAAAAGAACAGCATTGTCAATCAATGTTCAGGCTCTTTGAACAAGCCCTAGAAAAACAGATACCCCTCAGAGTCTGAGCACAGGGAAAGGAAAAAGTTTGAAAGTGTTCCAATTTACAGCCAAGACCTATTACAGCAACTCAGAAGGATTTTTTCCCAGAATACTTCAAACTCCTTGCTAGGGAAGGGAATAATTTTTATCATTCCTGACATGCGGGTCTTTTCCCTAATGAAACTAGCCCCATACTGGATACAGATGGGCTTCGGATTTAGGCAGCCAATCCCAAGCAAGGTTACCCTGCCCATGGATGGTCAGTTGTAGTAGCAGCCCACAAACACCAGTCTGGGAGGATGGTCCTGTCTGAAACGAGCCCTACAAAAAAAACCCCTCTGCTCCTAAATTAACCTGGCTACATCTAATGGCAGTGCTTCCTCGCCATCAGGGAAGCCTAAACCCAAATGACCTGGCCTGTCAGAATATCTTAATTCTAGCTGTGGACTTCTCCAATGCATCTCCCTAGCCCAGCTTGCTGTGTATTTGCTCCTTCATGAGCCCTAACCTAAGATATGAAGGCAACCCTCACAGGCAACCTCCTCCTATGGGAGGACTTGGGATTGCTGAAGCATGGCTAAAGGAGGTTCCACAGACACACCTTCAGTAAAGCTTAGCGTCAGGAGTTCCTGGACAATTTTTTATACTCTGGTGAAATTTCCTACACTGAGCTATAACCCACAGCTGAATATATCTGTGTGCATGTGATCCATGCAATCCACAATCCAAGATTCCACAATTTGTGTTTTGTTCGGCTTTTTAATAGGGTAAAAGAACTCCAGCAATGGTTCAATCCACTGCATACCATGACCAAGGTCTAGAGCTGGTCTGCACCCAGGCTCAAACATCTGCTTTTTCTACACAGAAACCTCACCATTAGCTACAGCAACACAGTCCCAGCTGAGCAGTGGAAGGATGGAATTCTGCTGTACATGTGCTGTACCGCTGGGCACAAGGCTTCCCAAGCAGTCCATGAGAAGTATTTCTGACAAAAATACTCCAAGCAAAATGTTGGGAAGGACTATCCTTCAGCCGCCTTCTTACCTCCAAAAATAAGTGTTAGCATCTGTAGGAGAGGTGCAAAAGCAGAAAGGTAATCTTGCTTGCAATACTATCCATGAAATACTTACACCCCTACGCAGACTGTTAAAAAACAAACAACAACCCACACAACTGAAGAGCTCAATTTCATGAGCCCCTAAAGAAGCTTTCTCAGAAGCAATAAAAAAGAAAATGAAATTTACAATGCAGTTTCTCCACAACAGAATAAGTGGAATGGGTAAAGACACATCAAATTAACTCACACTAGCAGAGGGACCCTCCCAGCTGCCACCCAGAGCATTCATGCTACAGAACTTCAAAATAAAAACAGCCATTATGGAATTTAAGACAAACATAATTTTATTGTCTACCACATCACAACTTTTTTTTTTCCCTTTACAAATTCCAAAACAAATGGAAGAATTTTTAAAACGCAATATTATGTAAAAACCCATTTGCCACAGACTACTGTACTCAGTGGAAGTAATATATATTTCAGGAACGTGGCCAATTGAAAAAATAATCCTATGAAATAAACATTGTTCATAAAAATACAGTAAAATGCACTTCTGTCATCTCAATAAATACATTTTAACTCTGTTTCCAGTTGGCATTTTAAGCCACTAGATAGTTTTTAATGAAGAAACTGACGAAGTATAATTTCTTCATATGCACTTTTACAATTATTGCAATAGAATCCAGAACTGTAAGCATTTTCCTTGTAGTCTTTTGTTTCTACCTTTAGGGGAATCACAGACAGGAGAAAAAATTTATCTATAAAATGTGCTACTCCCATATTGATTCCCATTTTGGAAAGAATGTTTAAGGCTTTCTTTCTTAAGAAACAGTCCTTAGAACAAATTGTTTCAAAGAAGAATTCTCCAGAATTACTCAGAAAATTTAAGTCTATTGTCCAGAGTCATAGTTTTGGTTTCAATCCATTTAATATATTTAAAAATTAAACAGTTGTTAGATAAAAATAGACGCTTTAGAACATCTTAAACAACAGCTAAAAGTTTTGTTAGAAAAAGAAAATCTTGCCCTTTTTTACAAATCTTGCAAATTTTTAAATCCAAGTATTGCAGTTCTGCTTCCCATGCACACAGCACAAAACCACACAATTATATATACATAGATCCCTGATTAAGACATTTTCAAAATGGCTTATTAAAAATGTAAAAGTTGAAAATTTCAACTGAAGTCACATTTTGTTTGTCCAAAGAACAGTCATTTCTTCGAAGATGAGTATTTCTCTTCCTTTCCTGTGATGCTTCCTTAGAGGTTGTCTGCCTGTGAGTGAATCAGTGTTTTACACATCACACAGCTTGTGAAAATAAGTTAAGCATTACTGTGCCCAGTGAATGAGTGCCTTTTAAAAAACAAACACATTCAACTCTGTTTCATGGCTGAGACTATGGCTAAGAGGCTGACTGGGTTATCCTTTCTTTGCTGGCCTCCTTCACTTCCACTCATCAGCTGTTTCTGATTCACATGAAGACTGGTATATCTGGCATACTTGATCAAACAGAATAACAACAAGAAAACCCAATTAAAACCCTTTGTGACTTCACAGATTCATTGCATCACCTATAGCTCTTCCATTTCAAACTGTGTATTAAAGCTGTTTGCCATGGATGTATGTTCAAAGATCCTTGTCAGGCTTGGTGTCAGTAGCTCCACAGAATTACATGACAGCTGCTGCGAGGTATCACTCTTCAGGGCCACGATCTGATGCGTTCCAGGATCCCTTCTGTCATAGTA